AATAATATAATAACTGATAAGACAATAAGAACGTTACACATTTAGAAGACCAAGATGAGAGGCATTCAACCATGGGTTTTGTATTACACCTTGCTGTCCTCAATGGTGTTGCTCAGATCGCAGATATCAGCATACAGAGTTAGGTGAAACTTCTAAATATTAACTGCTATTTTCAAAAACAAATGGAAATTATAACTACAATCATCTCAGCCATCCTGTATATATACTTGGATGTTTTCCCTCCTTCCTTTTTTCCTATCTTTTCTCCTTTCTCTCTCTATGTTATTTATCCTTACATTCAGTTTCTTTTCCATTTATTTTATTTATTTATTATGTATTTAGTACAAGGTCTACAGGATCTTACCATATAGAGTGGACTCATAGTGATCCTCCTGTTTTTAGCCTCCCAAGTACTGGGATTACAGGCGTGTGCCACCACTCCCAATCTCAATTGCTATATCAATGCTTCCCTGGGGCAGGGCAAGCACAGCATGCATGGGATTGAACCCTGGTCCCTGTATCTGCCTAAGCAGGCACTTTAGTCCGCTGAGCAGCTATCTGGCCAGCTCTCACTTTCTTTCCATTTTACTATATCTATTATACCATTCAGGCTTTATTTATTTTTTCAGGTTCTTATACTAGGGAGACAATACAATATTTACACATGTGGATCTGATTTATTTTATGTATTAGTATAGCCTCTAGTTGCAGCCACATTGCAGCCTTCTTTATAGCTGAATAGTACTCCATTATATAGTGTGACAGGTATATTTTGTTTTATAGAAGTTTGTGATTTTTAATGTAATGAAACTTATCAGTCTGCATTTTTGTATACATTTCATGACTCTTTATCTTGTTTAAGAGATTCATCTCCACATTGATAGACTAAGTTTATTTATACTTATTCCAAAATATTAAGATTTATTCCTTATATTTAGGCCATCAACTTGAATTTGGGGCTGGGGATATTTTTCCCATATAGATAGCCAATTGTCCTACCATCCTCTTTTGTATGATATTCTATTTCCCAATGATTCATAATCTGTTGCTCCTATTTTTCAACAGACCCCACATCTTAAGATTTCATCAGCTCTTAATGGTGCCACATTTGGGACTAGAACTCTCGGACATAAATCCTGAGGGGACAAACTATAGCAATAGTTTTACAAGTCTTTTATTAAATGCATTCTTAGGGCTATTTCTCTCACAAACATAATACCTCTCTTACTATACTTTGTGCTGTTTCCAGTTGTTACTGCCAGGAATCAGGCTGCAATGCAGTGCCTGCCTCGTGCTGCTCACATTTCTGTTGAGCGTGGTCCCGGTCACTTTCTCATGGCTCAGACATACTACCAAACATCTACAACTTAGAAGGAGAAGAGCTTTATTTTAGCTTATGTTTTAAATGTTTCAGTCTATAGTCATCTGGCTCCAAAGCAGAAAGGCATGATGGAGGGACTTAGCAGAGGAAAAGGTGTTCCCATCATGTGGCCAGAAAGAAATCATCAGAAGAAAGATTCTGGAAGAGAGACACACCCTTCCAGGTTATGCTCCCAGTTTCTTGCCTCTTCCAACCACACCTGACCTCCCAAGAACAAGTCAGTTTTGTCATCCCCATGATTGAACTTTTGGAAGTTCAATCACCTTCCAAAAGCCCCATCTGTGAGTGCATGAAGATCTTGGGGTACATCTCGATATGAGCCATGGCCCCCACAAGACTCAGGTCTGTCACTTTATGCAGAACGCATTTAGTCCATCTCCAAGAGTTACCACAGTCTTTTTTAAAAAAATAATTTTATTGAGAAACAAATAGCAATGAGACAGTTTCAAAACCAATTAGTAGGACAGTTTCATTAATACATGCCAGTCTTAACAGTTCCAGCACTACAGAAGAGTCCAAAGTCTCTTCTGAAATTTAAGGTAAACAATTACTTGTGAGTCCCTGGAAATACCAAAAGGAAAGTTAAAAATTGCCTACATACAATGGCACAAGGTGGAAATCTCCTTTCTAAACGGGAGGAATAGAGAGATAGAAACCAGCGGAACGAAAGCAATACTGAAATGCAGAAAGGCAAGCATCTTTTAGCACCTCGGGCAAATGGTGGTGAGGCGCAAACCCCAAATGGCTCGAGCAGCCTTGGCCCTGTGTACCAAATGCTACAGCTCCCATGCGATTTCTCCTGGGCTTGGCTTGCCCACCATCGTGGCCTTCCTCAGACAGCCCACATTCCTTGCTTCTCCACATTTTGAGGGTCTCTACTTTCTGCTTCACTCTTAGCAACTTCAAGCCCTGTCCTCATAAGGGCATTCTTTCTAAAGTATGGCTAGAAACCTCTCTGACTCCACAACTTTTGCATTCTACCTACCGGTAAAACCAGCACTATATGGATGATGCCAAGACCTGTCACCAGCTTGAGCAGTATCAAGACCCCTCGCATTATGGTTGTACGGGACACTTAGTGCCTGAATAGGTGAGCACTATGACCTGAATTCTGAAGCACAAATTCCCTGTGCAGGCCTTCTTGCCAAGGCTCTCTTCTAAAAGCAAAGTCTTAGTCTCTCTCTCTCTCTCTCTCTCTCTCTCTCTCTCTCAGAAGAATGAAGTCTTATGGATTCCCCACATGCTCTCAAGGGAGCTTTCCCATTGTCCTGATGTAAAATATGTAGCTTCTTTTAAATGCTAATCTTTTTTGCAATCATGTTCTTTTCTGCTCCAATTTTAAAGGACTTTCTGGTAAAACTGAAAACTTTTCACATAATCTTTCTGCATCTGATTTTCTGTACAAATGACTAAAACTGTCAGAAATCCTGATGCCTTGGCCTGAACGTTACTCTACCTAGAGATTTCTTCTGCCAGATTACTCTGCCTACCTACTCTCAGTCTCCTGCAAAGACTCAGGACATGAGCAAAATGTAGGCAGGCCTTCTGCTGACACGGAAGACACATGGTTTGTAGCTCATCTGCTTAATGAAGTCCTTACTTCCAACTGGACCTTCCCAAGCCTTGTCTTCACAGGCTGCATTTCTGTAGCATTCTGGGCTTTTGAACTCTGACCAGAATCTCACATCAAACCTGGCATATAGTATTTTAGGGTTTCTCTAGCTGTCATCTCCTAACTTCCACTATATCCTTTTGCCGTGCCTTCTTTCCTTGAAGCCAGCTGATTAAGGACTACAATTTTTAAACATGAGTCAAAATAAATATATCCTGTAAGTTGTGAGTGTTCAGCACCTGCCTGGTGTGTTGAGTTTTGTCAAAAGCTATTTCTGTATCTAATGATACAATAGTATGATCTCATCCTTGCTTCTTTTTATGTGATGTTTTACATTAATTGCTTTGTGTTTGTTGAGCCATCCCTGCATTCTTTGGGATGGAGCCTACTTAGCATATTTGATCAAGTTGCATCCTGTCTGTCAGAATCTTGTTCAGGATTTTTGTGTCAATATTCATTAAAGAAATTGACCTAAAATTTTCTTTTCTATTTGGGCCTTGATCTGATTTTGGGATCAGCGTAATGCTAGCTTCCAGCAATGAGTCCAGAAATACTCCTTCTTCAATTTCATTAGCAAGTTTAAGGAGTATTGGAATTAGATAGTCCCTGACGTTACTGTGGAAGTCAGCGACAAGTCTATAATTTTCTAGGCTTTTCTTGTTGGTGTGTGTGTGTGTGTGTGTGTGTGTGTGTGTGTGTGTGTGTGTTTGGGTAAATAATTAAAAGGCGAGGGAGATAAGAGAAATGTCAGTGAGAAATAGGAATGCAGACTCTTGGAGGTATTTTTATAACTCGAGTGAAGGGTTAGTGTTTAGAGGATTTGAGAGCACACCTGTGGATGCAGGAAAGCAGGTGTATAGGAGGGAAGAATGACAGACTGAGAGAAGCTCTGAGGTGGTGGAAACCTGTTGATATATTTGTGGTTAGTTTTGCTTCTCTTGTTTTTCCTTTTCTTCCACTTTCCCATCATTAGCTTCAACGTAATTTTATTTATTCATTTATTTACCTACCTACACACATACTTTTCTAAGAAAGAACTTGTATTTTAAAAGTTAAGGTCTTTGTCCAATAACAGAAGCAAAGCACAGGGACCATGTTTCAATCCCTGGCACCACATGTAGTGCCAGGCCACCACAGGGTGGGCTGAGCTGAGCCAGCCACACACAAAAAAAAAGGTCTTAAGGGCCAGCCAGATAGCTCAGCGGATTAAAGTGCCTGTTTAGGCAGACTCAGGGACCAGGGTTCGATCTCCAGTGTGTCATGATGGCCCCAACCCCAGGGTACACTGAAATGGTGATTGAGACTGGGTGTGGTGACATGTGCCTATAATTCCAGCACTTAGAAGGCTGAAAACAGGAGGATCACTATGAGTCTGAGTTCAATCTCTGGTTCTTCCAAAAAAAAAAAAAAAAAGAGTACAAAATGGTAAAAAAAAAATTAGATATGATACAAAATTTCATTAAGCAGATAATAGAAATTTAACTTTTTTTTT